AAACCAGCCAGAAGCCAACCAGAAAGCCAGCCAGAAAACCAGCCAGAAGCCAGCCAAACCTCTTTTTTTTGATAGCCAAAGCCCAGCCAGAAGCCAGCCAGGAGCCAACCAAAGCCAGCCAGAAGCCAGCCAGGAGCTAACCAAACCCAGCCAAAACCCAGCCAGAAGCCAGCCAAAGCCAGCCAGAAGCCAAAAAGCCAGCCAGGGTTTCCTTTGAGGGGGCTCGCAGAAACAAAGGCAGCTGCGGGGCATTTTGCCAAACCGCATATCTAGGGGTCGTTATGTTGCAGCCACACGCCTGCACGCAGCGTTTTAGGTTTCGAATCCTTCGCAGGACGAGGTCGTTTCCTGGACGGACGAGTGCTAGGAGCCTGTCAGGTAGAATAGAATCCATTTGGGAAACCCCCTCTAAAGAGAGAGGTGCGATGTTCTATGTTCGCGCGCAGTTCGCTGCCGCTTTCCAGCATACTAGCTCGCCCAACGTGGAGGCTTCGATACCTAGCGCGCCACCTGCCTGGCATAGAAGCCTCCACCCGGCCGCGCCAGGTAGAGTAGAATCCATTTGGGAAACCCGCTCTAAAGAGAGAGGATCAGACCCATGCGGCACAGGACCTCAGACTGGTAGCTGAACTCTACGCGGGCATCAACCAAAAATTGGTTGGTGCCTGTTTCCAGTTCCAAGGCCAAAAACCCTACAGCGTGAAGGTCGGAGACCTCGCGAGCGTGCTCTGCAAAGAACCAGCCCGCCGACAACGTGGAGGCTTCGATACCGAGCGCGCCGCTCGAAAACACAAGTGGCACTTGTGTTTTCGAAGTGGGTTCGTTTCAATGCGTTCCAGGCGAGAGACGCATTTTGCTGGGTGGTCCGCCGAGTCATACGGATCATACGGATCATACGGTCATACGGCTTGGCACTGCGCCTAGCTCGCCCAACGTGGAGGCTTCGATACCGAGCGCGCCATATCCCTGCCTGGCATCGAAGCCTCCATCCGGCCGCACCACCTGCCCGGCATAGAAGCCAGCCTGCCACCTGCCGCAACTCTCGCCTGGAACGCATTGAAGCGAACCCACTTCGAAAACATAAGTGCCACTTATGCTTTCGAGCATCGCTTTCCAGGGCAGCTCAACCCGGCCGCACCACTCGAGGTTGGAATTCTTCCAAGGAAAAAAAAAAGCTCCAGTCCTCCCCTGGAAAGGACTGTAGCACGCTTTTATGACCGGTGAAACTATGTACGCCGTGCATAGTTTCTGCAGTACACTATAGGTATCAGAAGGATGTTGTCCTTCATGTCCTGGTAGCCGAGCGCATGCTATGTGGCGGCAATACCGCGATTGACCGGCGCCACCGGTAAATCATTGTGTCACATTGCAGCCACGGTACTTCCAAAAAACCCTGGTGCGGGCCTGGTGCGGGCCTGGTGCGGGCCTGGTGCGGGCCTGGTGCGGGCTCCAAGACCGAAGCCGCGGAGCCGGCCTCGCTCCAAGACCAAAGCCGCTTTGCGGAAACTTCTAACGGCCGGAGTTTGGACTGAATGGTACTCAACTGCGCTCGCGGCAGGAATCGAGCCCGTGCGGAGTAAGAAGCGCTTAGATCCTTGGCCGACGCCTTAGCCACTGGACTGAGGCGTCGGCGAAAACATATGTAAACATGTTTGAAGGACCTGTCACCGGCAATATCCCGGAGGTCCTGGACAACGGAGAGGTAACTGACGGCACGCACGTCACCGCAGGGCAGCTGGCCCTGGCTCTGACGCCCTACGCCCAAGTAACAGACCTGGTGAACACGGCAGCCTCCGGCAACAACGCGGCAGTTATCCAGTCCCTGGACGACCGGGTCACCGCCGAGCTGGCCTCAAAGCTGGACAGCAGCGCGCTGGCGCCGGCAATTGCGCCCCTGGCCACGGCGGCGGCCCTGGCCACCACGGACGGGCAGGTGGCTGCGCACGGAAGCAGCATCGCCGCGCTGCAGAGCTCGCTGACCACTGGTCTCTCCAACAAGGCAGACCAGTCGGCCTTCGACGTGCTGGAGGGCGTGGTGGCCACGAAGAGCACGTGGACCTGAAGCTGTCCAACTACAGCACCACGGCGGCCATGAACGGCTCCATCGCCTCTGCCAACAACGCCGCGCTGGCCACGGTGGCGGCCAACTACGGCCTCAAGACGGTGGTGGACCAGCACTCCCTAGACATAGCGGCGAGGATCACGCCGCTGGGGTCGTGTCTCAAGCACTCTTCCGTACAGCCTTTGGCAAAGCAAGCAGGCCTGCGCAGCGTTACATCGCGTGCTTCGAAACCCTGGCGCAGCTAGCGCTCCTCCAGGCTACGCACAGCCACGTTGGAGGCGGGCACTACTCCTTTAGCATGCCCTCAGGCACTGACAACTTGGCAGCAGAAGCAGGCATTAACAAGATGTTTACAACATCTTGGCCTTTGCAAATTTTTGTGCAGCTTGTTGCCTCTTGGGCGCATGCCAAAAACGTTCTTCTGCAACCGACTCACCTGCCAGGTCGCTACAATGAGTGGGCAGACGATTTGAGCAGGAATCGCCTTGCGCGTTTCGCCCACCGCCCAGCCAATCGCGTGCGCTTCAGCCCTGCCAGCCTTGCACAAGCTGGAGGGGCATCACACTCTGCCCCGCAGAGGCACCATGGCGCCTAGAACATCTGGCTGCAGCTGCCTGGCATGTGTGACATGTGGCTTGCTAGCCGTCCGGCTTCTGAAAGCCAGTATGCCGTGCAGCGCGCGCTCGCCTTCTGCATTTCGCACTGCGGCTTTTCCGCAGCCAGAATACCTGGCTGCGACGGCCGAGTTTGCTCACGCATCAGAAAATGAACTGATGAAAGTCGCTGGGTCAGCAATGCCCTCGCGTTGCCTGTCACTGTGCTTCGTCCCGCTGCAGGTGCAACCCCGCACTGAAGAGGGGGACTTTTGCGCCTGGGCCTTAATCGCATGTTACGGGGTTGCCTTGGAAGGAGGGGAACATCTCGCCCCTTGTCCTAGGTGCACCGCAGTGCCCTAGGAAAGTGCCACCTTCCCAAGCAACCCGGTAAAACGGTGTGCGCCTTGCTGTCGGCTTTTGGGTTCTGGGTTCTTTGTGGTTTGAGGCTAGGAGCAGTGCGCGAGACCTTTAACGCTAAGGGTTTTCTTTTCCCTTGTGTTTATAGGTCTGGGGTGAATCTCCTACGCCGCCGCCATTTGGTGCTCCTAGCCCTCAAACTCACGTTTAGGACGCGCAGTCCTGGTTTCGTTTGAAACCCACCCACTCGACCCTTCTAAGCCCTAAGCTTGCTTAGGCCTACCAGACAGCCCTCCCGCTGGAGCCCTCCGGACATGAACTGGGGGCGCACTCCCAGCTTCATACCAGGGCCCAGACCCGCGGTCTGGCCCTGTGGCGTCTCTGGACCCGCAGGTCCGTTGATGCGGGCGTGGGCACGCTTGCCACGCCTTTGGCATTTTAATGCAAGGACACGCTTGTGCCACCTTCCCAAGCAACCCGGTAGAAAGGTGTGCGCCTTGCTGTTCTGGGTTCTTTGTGGTTTGAGGCTAGGAGCAGTGCGCGAGACCTTTAACGCGTAAGCCTTTTTGAGTGGCCCTCCAGTGTTGCGCGGGATCGTGAACCACCTGGCTGGCAAGTTGTGTATCTGCTTATCACGGTGCACGGAAGGGAAACTTGACTCCTGGCAATATGAGGTAAAAACTCTGCGGCTGTTTCGTTCCCCAGAGCCTGTACCACGTCTGCCTCATTAGCTTCTTTTCCTTTGATACCTCCTTGGTTTGTTTTGGTTGTTTTGTGTTTACCTTCGACACCGTTTCTCTCTTTCTTCATCTTTGCGCTACAACAGCGGACTGGCGATATCGCAACGGTTTCGTGAAAAAAACAAAACCTCCTGCTGCGCCCGTTTTCGCCTCGGCATTCGTGAACGTTCAGCTGTCAATGAACCTTCTGCCAGCCGAGTTGTTCGCTTGTACGAACACGGCATGTCTCGGCTTTGTAGAAATTCTGGTACTGTTTCATTTCAACCTATGAAGGTGACACAACAGCTTTTGCGATCTTGGTTCATGTGCAATGCTTGTAGATGAGACACTTCCACGACATGCAGCAGCAAGCAGGCCTCTTTTGTGCACGTGGAATTTTGCGCTCGAAGCTTGGCCGCTCAGCGTGCGCTTCTGAAAGGAAACGCATACAGCAAGCTTTCTAGAAAAGAGAGCCACAACGCAACCTTCCGGGATTTCATTGACACACCCGATTGCGACTTGCAAGCAGTTGCGAAGTGTGAATCTCGTTCACACGGGGCTCGCATCGGGAAGCCGCTGAATGTTTTTCATTTTTTTTGCTTCGCCGAAAAGGAAAGTGGTGTTTGGTTTGCGTGTCTCCTTGCATTTTACAACCATTTGCTCAAGCTATGATCGCATCTCAGATCATTGCAACGCGCTTTTTGAAGTGGGGGAGCTGCCTTTTCTCTTTTTCTCTCTCAAGCTCGCGCCGCTGTGCCTGCCGTACTTTTCTTTTGAGTCACGCGCACGGCCGTGCTCTCTTGCTTATCTCCTGACATTTGCACCATTGTGTTTTTAAGACTGACCACTTTGTATTTCTGAGTTCACTCCCGGCACCGTCGAGCTCACGGGGGATTCTTCTCAGAGTTGGGGTTGTGCATCGCAGTGCGTCGCCTTGGCTGTGAACAAGTTTGGTTTCCAGACCATGTACTTGTTGTTTGTTGCAAAACCGGCATACATACACACAACTCTCTGCGCTGTATTCTGAATTCACCTGTTCCTATCCTGACATCCTTAAAGCGAGCAACAGTCAAACGGACGCGCCTCTTCGAACCGGGTTGCGCAGGGTATCTGCAAGCTGTGCAATTGTTAGCTGCATGCTGCCTCAAGCGATGAGCCAGGTCTGCGTGATGGGCATTAACAAATCAGCACGATGTCAAACAAAATATCATCATGATGCTTGCCATGTGTTCGAACCCATGCATACAGCATCAACAAAACATTTGACTTTCGGTTGGCATGCTGCACAGCAATGGTGAACACGATTTGCCACGCCGGTCCAGGCAGGCGGCGCATGGCAACTAGACGTCTCTGCATGTCTCTGATGCTTTAGAACTCCTCTTCATGTTTTGCAGGTCTTGGTCTCCGAGCTTGCCGCCAAAGAGCCAGGTGACAGTTCAATCCTGGGTCAACATGATCAAACGTCGGATGACCAGGACCTTTGGGATGATGAGGGTGACAGCGAGGTGGCCTTCCCATTTGCTGTTAGAACAGACTTGATCATGTTTGCGAGGTGCTCTTTGACGCCTGCCGCTTTCCGAGGTACGAGTTGCTGTTTTTGGCAAACGTGCAAACCTTTTTTGATCGCTGTGGCGTGCGCACCGAATCAGAATGATTCGGTCGGTCACTTTGCACAATCCACACACGCGCATGCTGATTCCATCGAGCCCGACGCAGGCCCACAGGGGATTTGTTGGATTGCGTGATCGGTGAAGAGTTGGCTGCTTAAGTGAGGTCAAGATGACTGCAATTGCACGAGAGAGTGGAGAAAGCAAACAAAGTCAAACCTTTCTGGCTGAGGCCTTGGCAGACTGCTGAAACCTGTGATGGGTTCGCAGCCAAATATGTGGAACTGTTGCAACTGTTGTGCGTTTTGTTTGTACTGGTGCGCTCGCTATTTTCTTCAAGGCGCAAAGTGCGAGTTGTCGGAGAAGCTTCCGCCTGCGGCCTAAGTGAGAGATTGGATGACATCCAGCCGCCGGAAGTATGCCAGGCCCTGAAGCGTTTGTTTCAGCTTCCGCTCCACACTGCTGGGGAGGCTCGCTCTCAGGCTATGTGCTATGTATTGCACCACTCAGAATGAAGCGATATTCTTGCCAGACGTTGCCTTAGGCTTTGTGCCTTCACAGAATTGGAGATTGTTTGGTCGACGCCTCAATTGATTTCTCTGCACAAACAAATCTGGATACGTGTAGAAGCCAAGGTGGTGCTGGAGGCATCCAACCATGCGCTGAGTGAGGTTGAGGACATAGACACTTCAACAATACAACATGTGTTCACGCGCCAGTGGAGATTTCAATAGGACCTGGACTTAGGGCAATGCCAAAGCTCCCCAAGGCCAGACTGATCACTCACGGTCGATCTTTTGGTTGCATCGTTGCAGGTCTCCGAGAGTCAACCCTCCCCGCTGCCAAGCGCCACAGCTGGAAGAATGTGTCTCGAGTCAATCAGTGGGCCGCACGAACAAGTTTTGAGGTACGCGTGGATGGTGACATGGTTCGAGTCTTCCCTGTCGTCGAGACTGCTGAGCCAGCAAGGGGCTTGCAGCATAGGCCTTCAGTGCGTAGACGGAATGATAAAGACAGGTTCAAGTGGATGAGTCGCCAATTTCTACTCCCTCCGCGGCTTGCTGTGAATGGAGAGCGCTTGCCTCAGCCATGGAGAGCGCTTTCGACTGTGATGCAAACTGCTTTTGAGGTACGAGAGGGGCTCTCTCTCCTTGCACTTGTGCCGCGTCGCATGAGTTCAGGCGGCAGACTCAGGCCGCTGTGAATTGTCTTGCTTCTGCCATAGGTAGGGAATGAGAAATGGAATGAACCTGGGGATCCCCTTAAAGGAACCCACCAGTTGGATGGTTTACAGGGGTCATTCCATTTTTCGTTCCCTGCCTATCGCACCAACAAGCTGTGACATAAGATGTTGAGCTACCTGTCTCCCTGAGGTGAAAGCGGCCTTGCTGATCTTAGGTCCGCAACCCGGGAAACCCTGGCTCGTCCGAGTTCGACTCGACTCAGTCGCAGCTCGCAGCTGCGGCTGCTGGACGCACCATGCTGGCCCTCCTATGCCTGGACCGCAGTGCTAGAATAGAATGGAATGGACAGTTTTCAAATGTGCTGTGGAAAGTTTTCCCAAATTTCAAAGCGCTTGAATGAGGTCAGCACTGTGCTGAGGCTCGAGAATGTGGGAGGCCTGCTCCCGGATGTTTCTCATTGCACTGATGTGTAGGCACTGATGTGTAGGAAGCCTGATCATGCCACATGATATGGCGAAAGCCCGGCCTGCACTTCCAGAGTATCATCGCAGAGTGACTGAGGAGATCACTGAGTAGGATCAAGTTGATGCTTTCTAGTTCGCGAGTTGACTTTGTGGACAGGCCGCATCGTGCATGTAAACAAGCAATGTTTAGGACCTGAGCGCTGTCTTGGTTGTGGTTGCCTTAGGTTGAGCACTGAATAGAACACTGGAACACTTGAGCAATCAGAAACAGTGCAAAGCCAGTGGGGCTTGCCAAGGTTCCTCTCAACTCTCCATTGGAAACTCGAACGCTGGTTGATTCTTGGCTGTCGTGCAGCACCCAGCTGCCATAGGCCGCCACTTCTTGCACCTCACTCACATGTGCCAACATGATTTGACATGGCAACGCTGCATATCACATAGGTTTATGTTTTCTCGAAAAAACTAGGTCCTTGTCCGCTTGGTGCCCTCAGAGCGTTTGGCAATCGCTCACAATGCGGGCTTTCTTTTTCAAAGGATTGGATGCCTGTCTGACACGCAGTTTCATGCTTAGGTGCTGTCTCTATGGTTCACCGTCCTTGCTGTGCTTCTTTGCCCACTCCCAAGCTTCTCTCAGTGTTGTGCATGTTGAGAGGGCACACCCCTCTTTATTGACCTTCAGCACGTGGCAAAGGTAGATGCAGATGGTATTTGCCGCGGGTGCCGGTTTGTGCTTGTGTCTCAGTCCAACGAGCAGCAGATGTTGCAGCAAACGTACTGCAGTCCAGCCACAGTCCTGTGACAGTCCAGTCGCTTACTGAAATATCAGGCTTGCAGCCGACATCCCATACCTGGAAGATATAGCAAAGGCTCGTGAAGGGTCACGAGCCACCAAATTCCGGCGCTTTTCTCATTGCGGAAGGGCTACACAACTGGTGCTTCGTGCTTGACCTCCGGCGCCACGTCCACCGCAGCTTGCGACCCATCCGACCCAATGTGACTTGGGGATTCGATGTCTGCGAGCTGAGGCCTTCGAGCCACGAGCGCTGCGAGAGGTCAGCCACTCGCTGCTGGAGACGCTGGTGAGCCGTTGCGATCGCGATGGGGGCAAGATGCTCAGAGACAACAGATGCGCAGCTTTTCTTGGCCGTCCGGTTTTTGAAAGAGCTGCCTGGCTTGTGCTTGAGGCCATTTTCTATTGGTGCCCAGCCCTCTTGGACCCCGTTTGCTCCGCGCAGGGCCGGAGTGCCCATTTGGCAGATTGGTCATGCGTTCATGCCCATAGCGCATCTCTTAGCTCAGCTTTCACATCTTGTCCAAGGTCAGACTCAGATGACCTTTCCAGCGAGGAGGCTGAGGCTGCATGCCGGATGTGGTTTTTGCTACTCTGCTGCCACTTGGCCCTTATTGCGCAGGGCTCGGCTCGAAGTCTGGGCCAAGAGATGGTGGACCTGCCGGTCAGCTGCTTTTCTTGTGAGTTCACCCACCCAGCTTTGGCGCAGGCTGCGAAGACAGCCTTTCAGCCCAGAGAGGCGGGGAAGAAAACAAGTGCCTTTCCCTTGGGTCTTTCCCTCGGTCTGCATGTGTGTTGCCAATGACCTGGCATTCTTTTTGGCAGAAGCTGCGGGTGCTTAAGGGCATTGCAGTGGCATGTTGTTTGAAGCTGCAAGAAGCAAGGACATGCGTCAGCTACAAGACCGCTTTGAATATAAGTTTTTTGTTTGTTTTTCTGTAGCACGCCGCGAAACAGGAGGTGCCAAAGACGACTGATGTGACATCAGCTGCACCTCAACGACTTCGCGCAGCAGCAGCACATCTTCTGAATTGGCACTGACCATCGCTGCGCGTCTGGTGCTTTTTTCGCAAAATATTTGATGGCGCAGTGGTGTCTACGCCCTGTCTGGCCAGGTGACGCAGGCTTTGCTGATGTATCATGCAGCAGCCCCATCCTCAAAGTGTCAGTGTGGGTGTCTGCGTGTCTGGGTGGGGAACGTGCCTTGTAGACCTTGTTTGTGTACCCCTGATTCCCACAAGGTACGGCTTGCTCAGGGTATGGGTGCAGCATCAACGGAGCTGAAGCAAGCAAGGGCCTCAGCGCTGTGGGGTGCTTGTACCATCTCCACCAGCGAGGTTCAGTCGAATCTTCACTAGCCATTGCTTCATGTGAAAAAAGGACATGGGGAACTCACCAAATTTCCCACAAAAACAACAGCACTCACCAACTCTTGGGGAAGCAACTAGGTGGGATCGTGTCCGTTGACATTGGGTTGTCTTTGGGGCTCAGGTTCCAGCCGGTTCAAGGCCGGGCAAGAGATGCTCTGCAGCGTGACCACCGGAATGCGAATGAGCATGTTGTGAACGGTTGGTCAAGTAAGGCTCCGCAGTGGACGGTTTCTCGGCTCCTTGGGTTTAGAGCGTGCGTGAGCGTGCAACGTTTGCCAGGTGGACTGCGAAGAGCTGCCGCCACCCGCTGCGGGTGCGGCAGATGATGCTGCGTTCAGCCGCCTGGAAAGGAACCAGAGACATGTGGGTGAGACGCTGATGGGTTCTTTTGAAACCCTTTTGCTGGGAAGCTCTGGTTCTGAAGCTTTCGCGTTTTGTTTTGCACAGTGCCATACTGGGCTCGTTGGTGTCACTTGGGAAGGTGGGGGGTGGCGTTGCGGCAGGAACGGACTAAGCGAGAGATTCCCAAGATCAGCGGCCTCCCCAAGGGCGCGCCCTGTTTTGGGGCCCATTCTCTGGCCGTGCGCAAGTGGTGAGCACAAGAGCATGAGGTCCGAGCTTTGCGGCGGGCATGCGCAGAGGCCTGGACCTGGTCCCAAGCTCTTGGCAAGTTGGATCCAAGGTTCTCATTGAATTTGCAAGCCCAAAGCGTGGTTGCCGAATGACTTACCCTGGAGCAAAGGGAAACTGGCAAGGTTTCCATTGAAAGTAGCTTTTGTGTACATGGCATTCTCTTCAGAGGAGGTCTCTCCAGCATCCTTTTTTCCTCCCATTTCTTGAGTGGCTCCCTGGCCTGCTTCTTCTTCTTCTTCTTCTTGACAACCGTCACCCAACATTGCTGGATCAACGAATTGCGCGGCAATTGCGTTCTAGCGCCGTTCTATTCATGAGACGGGCGAGCAGGTGAACTTGTTGTGCATGTTGCTGACTCATTGGACCCCAGTTAAACACTACGACTCCAGCAGAGGTTCTCCCCACGCAACGGCGCCATTCGGACTTGTGGTCCCATTTGCCAGGAGAAAACATTTGCGCCACTTCCACGAAGGCCGGAAGCGACCTTTTTGCTAGACAAGAGATGAGTTGGCAAATGTCAAATGGCTGGACGCTCAGGTTTCAGCTCTTGCTGGCATCAGCGCACGAATTCCTAGCCGACACTTTCCTTGCAGAGGCCAGGCTTCTCGGCCTTCCGGCGGGCCGGGATTTTTTTGGTTCAGGAAGTGCCCGGTGACTTGAAGCTGGACATCTCCCGGTACATGAGTGCTCTGCGAAGGGCCAAGTAAACGCGTCGCAAAAGATGCGGTGACTCAGCCAAGGCGCCATTTGCAGAAGAGCAAAGACAACCTGGCAGAGTGCTCCTTGTTGCTTGCCATTGCCTGGCGCAATCTTCCCTCATGCTGAACTGCCTTGTTCCTGCCTGTTACTCTGGCTTTCAGGTATACAGACGGCTCCACTTCCGATGGCGAAAGCAAGTTCGCGCGCAGTGTCAAGCATTTGGCGGACTGGGATGCTAGACGGCGGTTTGCGAGAGAACTGTCTGATCTACTCCAATCTGCAGCGGTTTCTTCCGATCTGCGAGTGTTCTGGAGAGGAGCGGCTCAACGCCAAGGCGGTCAACGCTCATTTGTGCCAGCTACTCGTGGACCCCAAGGCTCCGCGTGAGAGGGGCCGTGGACCATCGTGGACCCAAGGTTTGGCACGGCTGCAGCAGCGGCATCCTTGGTGCGACACTTCCTGGTGTCCCTCCGCCATGTCTCGATGCATTGCCCGTGAGTGGTTTAAGTGGGTGGGCCATTTTTTAGGGGAGCCCCCTTTTTGTGCGGGTTTTTCAAGGAAGACCGGAAGGAACACCATTTTGGGGTCCCCTAGAAAAGACACGTCCAAGTGGCTGTGCATGTTGATTGGCCTTGCTGATGGGCCTGCGACAAGATGAAATCGCTTGCGACCTTCTCCAGATGTGACAAGCATGCGGTCGGCTCGAGGAGTTAGACACAAGGTCCAACACCGACCTTGTGAGTTCGAGCACAGAAGTCTCTCCATTTCTGGATGACAGCCACATACACCTGCACTCACTGCCCATGAGCCTCCAGCCAGATATTTCGGAGTCGTGCAAGGCAAGTTGACGCCTGATCACCAGATCCTTGCATGGCACTTGAACACACGCACAATTATATATACAAAGTATAAAATTGTATATTATAGGTATGTATATATATATATATATCTATATACATATATACATACATACAGGTATAATATTCCTATACACATAGATACATCACTACGCAATCTCTGAACTTAGAGGCACCTGCAGATCCTGTGAAGCCGACGAGTCGTCACGCCGAGTCCGCAGGTATGCAGGCGTGGTTTGACCTTTCAACATGCGACCATTTGGTTTGGGAATTGTTTTGCACCGCGCTGAGGATGGTCTCGCCTCTGACAGGCATCACTCAGCTGCAAAGCCAGTGTCTTAGTTCCCTATCGATAATTTTGCTGCTTAGCAACGCTTCAGGGGCTTCTAGTGGAAGAGGATGTTCCAAACACGCTACTGGCGCTGTTGAGGACTCGAGGGACTATAACGACTTTTGATACGTTTCTTTGGGGTGGGCCGGGGTGACAAGCTTCATGGTTGCGTCGACCCCCTTTGGCTTCATGACTTGTGTTGGGCACACTGCTTTGGAGTGACACAAGAAGCCATTTGTGGGGGAAGTCTTTTCGCTGGCTGTTTTGGGCACAACCCGAAGAAGCCCAGTTTTGCCCATGGAGCATTTGCTTGCCTTGCTGTTCTTGCTGTCCTTGCTGTCCTTGCTGCTTGTTTTGCGATTGCCCCATGCAAGTGCTCCCGTCCCCACATTGATTGGCCTGCCGAGATTTAGCAAAGCGCCACAATGCAGAATAGCTGAACTAAGTGCTTGTGTAGGATGCGCTGCCCTTGGAATTTCCGGAAGGTTAGACAGGTGGTTAGTGTCCCAAAGAGATAGACCATGAGGTAGAAACTGCCGGTGGACGCTATTAACCCAGCTCACGGATCGCTTCTAAGGGTTAACTCTCCTTCCCATGGAATCTTCTCCAATATAATTCACGAGCGAAGGGAGGGACAGGAGAAGATGGAGATGGGGAAGGAAGAGCTTCCATAGTGACAGGAACTCCAGAACTCCAGAAATTGAATGGAGTGAGATGATGGAGTGAGAGGGAACGGTTAGACGAAGGAATGGGCTCGCTCTTCATCATGTGTGTTCACCCATTGACAAGTTACCGCGGGAAAATGGGTGAGTGAGGAACCCATCCAATATTGTTTCTGGTTCTTTCGGTAGCTTCAGAATCTCTATTTCCTGCAACTTTATTTTGGATGGGTTTGTGGTCAGCAATTAAACATCCATTCCTCTGGATTAAACGCAGGAACATGGCGTCGAAAAGCGGGCTGGTGTCAAGAACGCTGTGTGCCAATGAGATTTGGATTGCAAAGTTACTGAACAGTGGTAAACATTGGACAAAACAGATACGCACAGAAACCCGCAAAGATGAATGAATGTGTCAAACACCTTGCATGTTTTGCAACGCTTGTTCCGGCCGGGCGCAAATTCTCGTCGGTTTCTATAGCGCTGGTACCTAGTTTGTGTTTGGCTTCATCAAAGCTCCGTGATGCTTGTACTTCTCGTGGGACCTGGATGGAAGCACCGCTCACTGCAAATTTGGGGCGTTGCTGCGACTGGGTGCATCGTTTTTTTGCTTTGTGTTCTTGTCCTAAAATCAAATTTGACGCTGCTGAGCGGCTTTCCCATGCTCCTCGCGCAAAGAGATATCAATGAATGGCATCACTTGCCGCAGCACTTACGGCACCGCTTACAGCATCGCTCATCACTTGCCGCACTGTCACCACCTGCGGGCATCACTTGCATCGGGCCTCGCTTGCATCGGGCCTCGCTTGTATCGTCAATGAAGGAGCAGGGTGGGGGGCGGGGGGCGAGGTGAGGGGTTGCGCAAACACGATCGGTGCGTGGCCTACATCGTATGTAGAATCAGGCGTGCAACGGGATTTCGACTACAGCTGTATTCTTCCAGCCAAGATGATGGCCCTCACGCAGGCATTAAAAACCATTCAGACTCGCAGAGTGATGATTGTTTATGAAGTCAATCTGCAGTATTTGTTTTTCTCCTTTTCTGCAAATTTTTCATTTTATCTTTTATTTCTGGAACTCAGAAAGAGCATGTTCGCCTACGCCAATGAGTTGCAAGCCTTGTGATGGGATTCAGGGACATGCGGACCGACTTTCATATGCCCAGGATGTGGCCTGGGGAAGTCATGGTGGCCCACTGAGTCCAGCTCAGACGTCGCTCTCTGGGCGGATCGGAACTTAGGTCCAGATGTCCTCCACAGATCAGCTGCCCTGGGCTGAAGCCGAAGCGATGTGTTTGAACATGGCTTTGGCGCCCCTTAGCAGAGCCTCCGTGTGTAAGGGCGGACTTCATCGGAATGCTGGCCGCAATGAGGAGACCGGTCCCTTTGCAAGGCCCTCAATAGCGAGCTGTTGGTGGGGAATCCTGAACTTGTTTCGCCCAAGGAATGTCGACCAAGCGGCTTGGAAAAGGCTGCTCATGGTGCTAGTCGTAAGGCTCAAGGCCCGGCCTAGGCAGTGAGCGTCCGTATTGAAGAGGTCTTCGCCTTGTGAGGCAAAGCAGAGCAGATGCAGCCTTCAAGAGCTGCCACACACCTATAGCACTGGCTTGGCTTCAAAGGTCAGAAATCGGTGCACTTAGACGGGATTATGTGCAAGTCGAGGCTGCCAGCTTCTATGTGCATTCTTCTTTGGAAGGTGCTGCAGAAGGCCCAACATCGGCAAGCGCTGAGAAAATATGCCACGCTTGGAAGTGTGACGTGGCGAGGCGCTGCCGCCGACTGAAGGCTCGATATCAGGTTCTGGGGGGTCTACTTGCGTGTACTCAGGTGCCAACCTGGCAAAGATCATCACTGAGGAGGGGATCACGCAGAGTGCAGCACTTGGGTAGTGCCACACTGCCACCGAACAATCGCTGAGACTGAAAATGCGATTTTGACATCGACCGAGGTATTGGCAATCTTCAACATCATATGGAGAGAGTCTATTCTCTGATGGAGCTCCACGATGGGGACTGCCCGTTGAACTTTGTGATTTCAGTCTTTCAAAGCTAGGAAGTCTTTCTTAACCTTCCAGGAAGTCTGGTATCCCTCCCGCTTCACGGAGAGGCTGGGCCGCGTGTGGGACTCAGGCTCTGAGTTTGCATTGGATTTTGGAGGCCCGGAGTCAGTCGCGTGGACCTCTGTGGACCAAGGCCTACATTCAGCATGCCTTTGAGAGCGCGAATCCATGGTCGCGTGCAGAGGCCGAATCAGCATCGATGCATCGCTTTCTTGCTTTCGTGTTCGCAAGGCATTTCGATTGCTGTGCCCGAGTGCTCTTTTCTCTCGCAGGAGCCAAGCATTTCCCATTCGCACGGACCCAATGCAGAGGCCGGGCTTACTCTTGGCTTTCTGGGCTCCACGGATTGAAGCTGGATGCCTCATCACCACCTTTTCAATTTGTGGTTCTGTCGCATTTGAAAATTTGGCTTTTCGCACGTAGGCTATCGGAATCGAACCCCTTTTCTCTGCTCGGATGCCTTTGCTGGGCATTGCCCAGCTCCATCCAATCCCCTCTGCCAGGTCGCTAGGCCTTAGGATTGTGCTTGCCTTTTTTGACGCTCAACTTGCTTCGGCATTCAGAGTTTCCCGTCTCATGACCCGAAAAGAAAAAGAAGTGTCCCAGATTTCAGCAAGGCTAGTCTAAGGTTTGCAGGATGATTTCAGGCAATGATGTACAGCTCTTGGAGGTTTTGCAGGCTTTTGCTGTGTGTTTCGGTGGTTCTGGAAAGTTCTGAAAGTCTGGTTTTGCAGAATGCATTCGTGCAACCTGAGATGCTGAGCTTTACAACTTTGCTTGACCCTGGATAGCCGATGTATCCTTGCCTCGCATCTGGTAATGTTGCCAGAGAAACCCCGGATCTCTGTCACCTCACATTTGAACAAGACAGGCCGCATGAACATTTCAATCCGACGAAAGAGTTTCTTTCCAGGCCCAAGCGGCCGCGGCATCTTTTGGCAGGCTGGATATTTTGTCGCCAGCTTTGCGAGCTTTGAACGCGCGCGGGCAGGTTGAGTGGCCAGCCATGCCGCGCTGTTTTGCGGTGACCAAAAAGTCCGCTGGGTGTGTTTTCTTGGGTGCTCAAGCATGAGCAGAGTATGCGGTTAGGCATGTCTTGAAGGCAACCTAACTGAGAGCACACCTTCTTGGCCAGGCAACATAGGCCTGGCTATGAAGGCATTGGATGCTGCAGAGGAGTCCAAGAGTGCGCGAGACCCAACCCCAAAGCCTTTCTGGCAACTGCAGAGGAGCTTGTGCTGAAGCCAACTCGGGCAACTCCGCCGCGACAAATGGGAGCATACGAGCCGCGCTGGCCTGGCTTGGGAACTGAGGCTTCTCGACCACCTAAGTCAACAGCTGGTACCAGCTATATAGCAAGCAGCGACTTCAAGTGACAATGTTGATTTGAATACACTCAGCCGCAGTGCAAGCAACAACAGCTGCCAGGTGCTCGCTCCTTGCCTCAATCAGCAAATGGAAGGCTGAGCTCTTAGACAGCTAGACAGGGCCATGGGGGCCATGCGGGCCATGAGCGCGTCGTTATGGGAAGCGAGGCAGACCACGTGCATGAACTGGCCACCTTGGCCCTGACCGGAGCGCGGGCTCGAGCGTGGCTCTCAGGGCCCCCCTCGTTTCCTTGCGCTCAAGGCTCCGGAGCTCGCCGAAGGCGTCCGCGAGTACTTGGAGGCTCCGAGCTCCGGAGTGCCAGGTGCAGAGCTGCGTGCAAGGCTCAGCAGAAGGAGTGCAACGAGTCCCTCCAAGCACTGCCCACGCAATGCGAGCGCTGGCTGCAGGCATTGAAACACAGAAACACAGAAATCAGGTGTTGGAACTTCGAGGGATTGCAATGGCCAGTCTACCGTCAGCCTGAGCCTGCGAGCGTTACACCAACTGGCTGCAGTGCCCAGCGAGGCATTGGCTGCATCTTCCTGGGGCTTGTAAATTTGACGCAGTGAGCCGGTGCAGGTTGCCTCAGAATTGCAGGTGCAGGCTGGATCATCAAAGCCTTTGGTTGGGGCCATTTGAACAGGCTTTGCTGTGTGTTCCAGGCACGCCTCTTGTTGGCGCGGGCCTACAGCAAGTCTTGGCCACAGCTGCTGAAACAATCGAGCCATCTTGAAGATGGAGTAAGTTGGCGAGTCAAGGGATCAGAGAGATCATTGCAATACGCGCTAAGGCTGGGACACTTATATGCGAGCACAGGCCGTTTTACGAAGGACGGCTGGAAGCGACTCGCGCTGCTTGCCAACCGTTCCTGGCAGGCGATGACTCATGCCAAGCAGGGCATTGAGCTGTTCAACGCCACGAAGGATTGGCTTGATGCCCGTCTGCAAATTTTCATTTTGTCGTTCGACCCTCGCAGGACAGACTCGAGGCAGCCAAGCTGCAGATATGGTTGCGGCCTTGGGTACATCCAGATTTGAAGAAAAGTACAATTGGCACAGTCAGCGCAAGTCAGCACGGCAAGGTGACATGGTACCTTTGATTTTGGCCTTTGACATGTCGAGAGTGGCCTGACAAGGCTGCCAAGGATTTCCCCCTCGTGCTGAGGCTGTGTCGGCTGCAGCTTCGAATGGCGCTGCAGGCGATTCCAACATGCGCACAGATAGAGATGGACCTGGCAAATGGTGAGAATGCTAGGGATTCAGCATAGTCTTGAGGCAGCTGCTGGTCGCGCGGAATGCCTGGAAGAGGTGTCGACCTGAATATGTAATTGCCATCAGCATGCTGGCCGCGAGGATCCAGATCTTCTCTGTGGCGTTTCAGCCGCATCACCCGCAGAGCAGACTACCCTGCAACAGGTGCCTTTGGAATGTCGACTTGAATTTGTTCGGTTTAGGTAGTGTCACGAATCGTTCTTGCTGTTGGGTGGTGCTGCTGGCGGGTGTAGCTCTGTTTTTTACTTGGGAGGATGCACGTTTGCTCCTCACCTCAATGGGTTGTGAGCACACGATGCAACATAAGAAGTCAAATGCAAGAGTGGGCATGTTTCAAAATAACGGACCCTGAAAATTACCAGGTTTCCTTTTGGTTGACCTTTAAAATCGCCCCAGGTGGTGCAGCAATTGCAGAAGGCCTTGAATGCTCTCGATTCTTCTGTTGGCGGCCCAATGTGGCACAGAAAGATCAAAGGCGCATTGGCGACGGACATATGAGATTCGGATGTTCAGGTTGTAGAGGAGCAGCACATGTACGAAGATGGCCAGGTAGGCGATGTCTTGTCTCGGAAAAGAAGCCACATTGCTGTTCAGAACTCGGCAGGCTTTGCTGGGCAGGGTGGTGCTGCGCAACTCGCCAAGCATGAGGAGCCATGGAGACAACAGAACCACCCTGCAAGGGCCTGTACAGCTTGGTGATAACAGATTGCGAGTTTCCTCATTTTGTTCGGTCATCCGCGCTCTGAATTTTCAATACAAGCAAAGGGACATGGAGCCATCTCAGGGTGCGACACGGTTGAGGCCAGGCCCTGGTAAAGCTGGCCAAAGCCCCGGCGCCCTTCAACTCCTGCAGCCGGCTCTGCGAGGAGGGACCAGCAACGTGTTTGTCTGCAAATGAGGGAACCACCAAAATGGGTGGTTTTGGAACTGCCTTCAGAAAGACATACAATGAAGACTCGACGTCCCGGTGTTGAAGAAGAGTGCATGCCTGGTTTTTTTGCAGTTTCGGATTGAGTCTACATGTTTGCGCACTCCTCTGTGGCAAGTCTCAGGTTTGTGCCACTCATCGTCGGGTGGGTGGCCTCTTAAGGGAGCACGGGGGCGAGAACGATTTTGGGGTCTTCGCCCTCGCGTGAGAGGCTCCCCTGCCCCCGCACCACCGGGATGGGTAGCAGGATCGGGACCGATCCACTCCCCTCGACATTCCCGTGACCTCAACTACCCGCCTCTCGAGTCTGCTCGCGCGGAACCCCGCAGAAACTGTAAGTGATGTGTCTCGTGTTGGGGGCGAGACGGCGAATGCGAGATCGCCGTCTCGCATTGCAGGTTTTGCATGCGTGCAGGCGCGTGGTGGCCGGCCCGGTGGCCTGCAGAGGAACGGGTAAGCGAGGTTGAGCTGGTTGAGGCAGACTTGGCCAAGGGCTGGGCCCGCCAGCGCGCGAAAACCAAGCCCACGGTGTTTAAGAGGACGACGCGATGACCTTTTGAAGTCGAGTGGCGCGTTGAAAGGCGGAGTGCCTGTGCATATGGGAGCTAGTGACGTCGAAGTCGCGACGAGGGCGCGTCCCGGCAGCAGGGCCGATAGTGCCCAAGACTAGTTTCCACTGAACTTTGAGCATCGTACTTTTCCTGGCGTGGCAGGGAACTTGGGGCAGGGTTCTAGAGAGGATGCAGAAGTATTCGTTGAATTGGTTCAATGTTGACAAGTCAGCTCTGGCAGCGCAGAAAGGGGGCGAGGCAAGAGTCTCTTGTTTGTATATATATATATATACATATATAATATATACATACATTACCTACCTACCTACCTACCTACCTACCTACATACATACATACATACATACATATATATATATATATATACACGCCCGTAGCACGCGGACATACACACACGCGTGCACACACACACACACACATATCTACATAGAAATACAGATACTTTAGAGCCTCCGGCTCAGTCCGCCGACATTGTCCTCTCCCTTTTCTCCTTCTTCCTCTCTCCCTTGTCTCCCTGGTGTGTTCTGTCGTCCTTTCTCCCTCCCTCCGCTCCCCGTTCTCCCCATCCCCCGAAGCCACTCTCTCCCCAGTCTCCCTCTCTCGTATGTATGTATGTATGTAGGCATGTATATATGTATGTATGTAATGTATGTATGTATGTAAGTATGTATGCATGTATGTATGTATGTATTTATGTATGTATGTAAGGTAGGTAGGTAGGTAGGTATGTATGTATGTATGTATGTATGTATGTAATGTATGTATGTATGTATGTATGTATGTATGTATGTATGTATGTATGTATGTATGTATGTATGTATGTATGTATGTGTATGTATGTATGTATGTATGTATGTATGTATGTATGTATGTATGTATGTATGTATGTATGTATGTATGTATGTATGTATGTATGTATGTATGTATGTATGTATGTATGTATGTATGTATGTATGTATGTATGTATGTATGTATGTATGTATGTATGTATGTATGTATGTATGTATGTATGTATGTATGTATGTATGTATGTATGTATGTATGTATGTATGTATGTATGTATGTATGTGTATGTATGTATGTATGTATGTATGTATGTATGTATGTATGTATGTATGTATGTATGTATGTATGTATGTATGTATGTATGTATGTATGTATGTATGTATGTATGTATGTATGTATGTATGTATGTATGTATGTATGTATGTATGTATGTATGTATGTATGTAATGTATGTATGTATGTATGTATGTATGTATGTATGTATGTATGTATGTATGTATGTATGTATGTATGTATGTATGTATGTATGTATGTATGTATGTATGTATGTATGTATGTATGTATGTATGTATGTATGTATGTATGTATGTATGTATGTATGTATGTATGTATGTATGTATGTATGTATGTATGTATGTATGTATGTATGTATGTATGTATGTATGTATGTATGTATGTATGTATGTATGTATGTATGTATGTATGTATGTATGTATGTATGTATGTATGTATGTATGTATGTATGTATGTATGTATGTATGTATGTATGTATGTATGTAATGTATGTATGTATATATGTATGCATGTATGTATGTATGTATATATGTATGTATGCATGTATTCATGTAATGTATGTATGTATGTATGTAATGCATGTATGTATGTATGTATGTATGTATGTATGTATGTATGCATGTAATGTAATGTAATGTAATGTAATGTAATGTAATGTAATGTAATGTATGTATGTAATGTATGTATGTAATGTAATGTATGTATGTAAGTATGTAATGTAATGTAATGTAATGTAATGTAATGCATGTAATGTATGTATGTATGTAGGTCTGTCTGTCTGTATGTATGTCTGTATGCATGTATGTATGTATCCTTGCACTTCCCCTTGGCTCCCCAGTATTTCCCGCAAAATACACGGTTTTTCTAGCGTTTTCGCAAAGAGGATGTCCAAAAACACAGAGTTTTGCCAGATTTTCGGCAAAAGGATGCAGGAAGCCCAAGCCAGCAAAAAAGCCGGCAGGGGGAATCGAGCCTGGGACCCCTGTTTTGCGACACCGGCTCCCCGAAGACTACGTTTAGTGGAACGTCATCAAATTGCCGCGCGGTACGTGGGGGACCCCCCCCCCCCCCCCAAAAACCTACGTAATAGACGTCGGGCGGGGGGGGGGTAAGGGGGGGGGGTTATCCTCTATCCTCTCTTAGGTATCCGACACGCCGAGCAATGTCGGCGGACATATTTACACATATATTTATATAGATACAGATGGCGCAAAGATTTGGCGCTGCAGGATGCATCTGTGTTCAGTGCCTTGGAGCTCCTTCAGGCCGTTCGACGCTTTGGGTGTGTTCGTCACGTTCGGCCATGAGAGCGACTCCGCCAGACTCAAGATGATGACGCCGCCAGCGAGAAGCCCGAAGTACAGCGAAGGCCAAGGCTCTGTGGGTCTGCCTGGCCCAGGCTCAGCAACTACAAAGGAGGCGATAGAGAAGCTGCATCAGGTGCGAGCTCTGTGTAAAGCGCAAAACACAGCAATGAATTTCTGAGCAGAGGCATGCTCAATTTGTAGCCTGTGGAAGCTTGGAACGCTTTGTGCACCAGTACTTTGCTGGCGGAGGCCGTGGCATGCTTTCGCTCAGCTGAATCTCAATCTCTTTGCGGCATGTCTCACTGTTGCCCGGCCCTTACCAACATCGGGCAACAAATGCGGTGTTAAATTGCGCATGTTTGTAGGTCTTTCGCTCGCAGGGTTATCGCAGGTACTCAGACGCAAATAACTCACATACATATACACACACACACTGATAGAGATACACAGAGACATTTCACGGAGACAGCAAGACACGGACACTTGCAGAGACACAACAGAAGAATTCAGTTCGCAGATCTAGACAAACAGCTTGAACGTCTGATAATTACAACAGCATATTTGGCTTGGCCTTGACACGCTCGGGCCTTGGGCCTTGCATGTTTTTTTTGCAGGCCATGGGAATGCAATTTGTTAATATGTATGCAATCACCCCTCTCATCACCCCAGCCCCACCCTGGCAACATGTATTCAAAGACACCACTTACCACTCCAGCCATTTGATGTATGTGCACTTGTATGGCATGATGGTGCGCTGGCTCGATTGGCTTATACACTAGCTCATCGAACAGAATTGGTTTAGAAGTGCAGTCGAAGTCGCAGTGCTGTTCTTTTTTTCTTCCTGTGTGGTTCCGGGTACAAGCCCCGCACAAATGGATCAAACGCGAGAGCAGCCATCTTGAATGAGCGCAGCTTGCCCGGCCTAGTGAATACGCAGGGAGAGGACACTCTTGCTTGAGAATGCTAGTACTTAAGTGAGCTTTTTGCTTCGCTTGAAGTCCAGTTGTGCAATCTCAACTCCGTTGCGCCATCATTCCCGAGGTTTGGCATATGCCGAGATCTTAGTCACAGCTTGCGTAGCGATATCTAGCAAGTGAGCTTGGCTAGGTGTACTACTGTGGGCGGGCTGACCCTCGACTCCAGCGCCTGTCCCTAACGCACTGCCAGCATGCCCTGGACAGACGCATTGTTGCTCTGACACAGTCCCGTTTCCCCCGACTTGAGTGCAGAAGGAGCAGCTGCCAAAGCACTCCAGCGAGGCGCGATTGTTCAAGGCAGAGTTTTGTAGCAGACTAGAATGTGCCCCTTGCTATTCCAGCCGTGGCAAGGGAGTAGAAGGTGTGCCGCAGTTGAAAGTACGTCTTCTTTTGAGTGGCTGCGTGAGGCCACCATACTGGCTGCCAAACTGTTAGAAGCCAAGGCTTGCCACAGAGTTGCTTGCAGGCGGTCCTAGTGTGTTTGACAGGTTACGCGGCGCTTGACTCAGAAAGGCCGGTGGGGAAGTGACAAGTGAGTGGATCCGGGGTGAGCTGTGCGGATTCTGGTGAGATTCGGCGCTTTGCCAGGCCAGCCGTCTTGGGCCGGCGATGCCAGAGCAGCATCAATTCTCTGCGATGTAACGCTCTTGAGGAGCGGGCGAAGCTCTTTGGAAGCTGCGAGTCAGTCAGCAGAAGCACGCAGAATGATCGCCAGGCTTGCTGTCCCTGCACTCCCCGCTGACATAGGCAAGGCTTATAAGGCTCAAGGCATCTCAAGGCACACAGCGAGTGCTGTGGCTCAGGCGAAGTTGTGGGCTCTCAGGCTCCCTCGAGACAAGGAGGTCGCGTATGGAGCAGTGTTTGCGCATTCAGGAGGAGAGAGTACGCAGCGTGCTCCTCACATCAGGGGACGAAGGAGGCTGGGCGTGCTCCTCACATAGAGCCAGGTTTCAGCACTGCTATTCCAGGTGCGACCCAGCTCATGACCTTCTTGAGGCGCGAGCGGTGAGTCAATGAGCATGCGCGGATCAATGTGCCAGGCAAGAACTAAGCAGCATATTGCTGCGCCTGCGGGAAGCCCAGTAGCAAAGTCTGCCGGGACGTCATTTCAGGATGGGGTTTCATTCAAACTGGAGGCTGAAGGTGGAACAAGATGGAGTTGGTCGCGACTTAAAGGCTTGTGAAGGTAATTGGTTTTGGCCTGAGCTGTGCCTGCTCAGACACTGTACTGCTCCCTGCTGACCGCGTGGCATGCAGAGGCTGGACAGGTGCGGGATGCTGAAAGAGAGCTGCGCAAAGCTCCGCACACGTCGAATTCGTTGTATCCTGGAGGCAGAGGCGCTCTCTGCACTAGCTGCCCACCTCAGGCTGTGTGCATCGCATCAGGAACAAATATCAACGAGTGTTGGATAGCTTGACATGGCCAGGATTTGTGAGAACTGACGTTTAACTCAGAACTCAGAGTACAGCTCTTGTGACGCGACAGAGACAGCTCCGCAAGTTTGTGTGGGCCAGGAGAATTCTCGCCACATGAGGCTTTCTCGCCTTCTGAGAAGAAAGGGAACCTTTGGTTTTCGTGTAGTTGCTGCTTGGGCGAGAATGTTGCCCATTCCTTGTACAGATGGGCATTTCGTCGCTTGCAAAGCATCTACCGCGTGTTCAAAACCGGAGGGGCAGAGGTTTGAATGCGAATCCAACGAGCTGTTGTTTGGCAGCAAGATGTGTGCCGTGCACTCAAGAGCTGCTTAGCTCTGGTACTTTTCAGCACCTCAGCGTGAGCTGTTGCCAATGATGCTGCCGTCGTCCTCCAGCTATACGGAAGCCAACTTCAGGTGAGCAGTTGTCATCCCCGGTGCATTTTGAACCCACCAGCTTTCGGATTCTCATTGATGCGTTGCACAGGTCAGGGACTTTTTCTGGCTATGGCAGTCCCTATGGCAGCTCCTTGGTTTGCCTTAGGTGTGACAGGCAACATGTCCTCGAACTGTTGGACCAAGGCTATAAGCCTGCAGTGCAAGTTGGCACGCAGAAACACATGGGCTTCGGGGATGGTTTGATCCCGACGTGCGCTACCAAAGACACTTTGGTTCCACCTGCCGCGAGCGTTCCGCACATCGAGCGCAGGTATCCAACCGGCATGCCGCTCATGCAGCCGGCTACAGCGCCCTACATGACTGCCGAGCTTGTTGCCACCGGAAATTGTGTTCATTTGCAGCTGTGTAGTTGCGGAGCTTGCCTTGAATCATTCCAGCAAATTGAGCTGTCCAGGAGCGAGATGGCCCCTTTGACCAACGGACGGCTGCCGCCCACGACGCTTAACAGTGTTTTTGGCATGCGCTGAGCAGATTGGAGTTCGCCATGTGCATGTCAAGGACGCTTTTGGCAGCTGCCAGTGCCAACAAGTCAACCTACCAGGAGAGGCGTCAAATTCGCAGTGGCACTACACTTCGCTGAACATAGAAGAGCCCACAGGAGTCGTGCGCGGAAGAGGGTTGGCTGGACGAAGACAAATTCGGTGCAGAAGACAAGCCGGGGCGTTGGCTTGTTCTTGTTTCAGGTTCAGTGTTCTATTTTGTGCGCACATACATTTGCAGACGCATTTGCACTGCTGCACCCGTGCGACCATGTGAATGAGATCAAGTCTTGTGAGGGGCCCCAGCTTGGACTACACCTTCTGGGGCATTGATTTGAAGCCTATTTTGCCAGTGGCCTAGGGCTCAGACTCAGAGGCCAAGCTGCTTACAGGGTTTAGATTGAGATTTAGACTCAATGCCAAGGCTCTTGCATTGTCAACAGTCCTGAGCTCAGATAAGCTTGGCACAGTCTTGGGTTGGAATGCAGTTGGTCCCTGCTTTTTGAGGTTGTGGGAGCCATATGCATGATGCTTGTGCAAATTCCGATACTCAGCCGATTCACGTTCATGTCGCAGGCCGTGACAAGTGTCTTGAGATTGCTCAAACATTTTTTTGTTTCTTTGTGGTGCCGCCTTGTGTCTCTTTTTGAAGGGGATGCCGAAAAGGCGCCCAACATTTTGACGACCCCCTCCCCCCGGCCCCCCCCCCCCCGCCCCGATGTTTTTGATTTGCCTCTCCCAGTGCCACACCGCGGGCAGGCAGCGCTCTCCGCGGCCTTCTCTGTACTCTACGGTATTACGCTGGGTTGCATGACGTGCGCTTCTGCGTTTCAATCCAATTGGACATTCGGCGGTTGCAAACTGTTTTTCTTCCAGCTGTCCAGAATCTGCTTGCTTGCTTGAGGATGCATGGAGGTACTGCACTTTTGCAGATCCTGGTCAAGTCAAGAAGACTCGTAATCTGAAGCCAGCAGGGGTGGACATTGAGGAGGCTGGGCACATGTTTGAAGCCTAACGCCTAACATGATGAAACCATATATTGTGGTATGACGTATCTAATGTGACATGATATGTAGTGTGACCTGCAAAATTATCTGAGATGTGATGTGCAGTGTGGTATGGAAAGCAATGTAATGACATGGAGTGCAATGCAATGAAGCGTAGTGTAATGTAACGCAACGCGCACTGTTGTTTTCTTTGTCTTTGTGAAAGCTTCCGAGCTGCCAGCGTGCCAGTCTCTAAATATTTAGGCGTCTTTGTGTGCTTTGGAGCTTGCAGACATCAACATGCTTATGTATATTCACGTGTTTGGTCCGATGTGGTGCTTTCTCAAAACCAACGCACATTGCACAAGCTTTCCACCCCACACAGCACAGCTGTGGAATGTGACTTCGTGGGCAACACAGGGCATCAACGAGCAGCGTCAAGTCACTTTCAAGGCAGTTTGATACTGGTGACAGTTTCTGGCACAGTTTGCCAATGATACCGCGACAACTTTCACGGGAATCACATTTGTTTGTACAGTGTATGCTGGCAGGGCAAGTTTTTGAGACAGCCCGGATATATCAAGTATATACTCACGTCATGCACAGTTCCACATTTGCATTTCATCTTTTGCTGCGCCATTTTTTGCCGTGCGGGGAATATTTCTCCCGAGAGCATTTGATGCTTTGGTTCCGCTTTCGTTTTTGACCGGGGGGGGGGGGGGCTGGGAACGAAACGCCCGGTTGATCTAGTGTCGCTTTGGGTTGACCGGGTTGGTTTGTGCGCTGTCGGGGTGCGGGTCGCGGGTCTAGGGTCTGGAATCGGAGCGAGGGGTGGGGAGATACCGCTTCGAATGGTAGCCTCGACACAGCACAGGAGACGGCATTCATCAATAAGTAGATAAGTAGAGAAATCAATGGAATATGTGTAAGCAAAGATATAAAATATGTATATGCGCGTAACAAGCTTCGGGCTGGTGTGTAGTTCAAGCTTCGGGTGTAGTTCAAGCTTCGGGCTGGTAATTGTTCCTCAGATGGGAGAGCATATTCCGGCGACAGATGTCCGGCAACCTTCAAGTTTCCGAGTGTCATTTTTTTGGTGTCAGCCAGTTTAGCAGCAATGCTCAGCTTGGCTTCAAGAGATTGCAAGCTGCAGGGCATGCCGAGACGCGCGCATAAGCCCTGTCCTCAGCGTCACATTGTTTGAACTGGCAGGGCAGATTCTGGCGCATTTTCTTGGTGATTCTGTCTTTGTTGTCGGCCTGCAAGAACGAGGTCGTGGCAATATCCCAGGCCCATCCGTCGGTATGATCACTACTGCACCTGGACTGAACTCTGGCAGAAGAGTGTACTTGGTCGGCACGGCATCAACATACGAATGTGGCGATCTGATTCCAAGGCAAGTGGCTCCAAAATGTGATTGGAGTAGCACTCAGAGCCATGAGACTTTTTTTGTTTGCCTTTTTGTGGCAACTTCATGGCACGTTTGAAGGTCAGATTGGCTGCAGATGGCGTGGCAAGTGGCGCCCAGGACTCCTGAACCATAGGGAATTTGTCACAATGCTCATTGGCCGGGAGCTGTGTGGGGAAATTTGCAGCCAACGGGCCACGAGTCAGTGGGCGGTCTCGTGGAGCATGTCGTGTGGCGCGTGCCAAGGCTTGACATCAATTGGTTTGTGCTCGCCCCAGATCAGCTGCAAGAGAAACCAAGCGATTCTTGGGCTTTGGACTGATCCAAGGCTTGGAATCGTGATTGACTTGTGGCTCGCTGTCCTGATCGCCGAGAAGGCAAGGTGCGGCTTCTGTTGGCCGGCACATGTGCCACATGTTGCCAGGGCTTCATGGACAGCGAGATCGTTGTGGTGCCTGAGCCACAGACACGAGCTGACACACTCTCCTTTACGCCGCGAGCATGCCATTCGTGAGTCGTTTTGTTTTTCGAGCCTCTGAGGTTGCATTTGGCCTACTCGATTGCTTTGCTGTTCATTGAATGGCTTGGAACCTGGGAATCCTTCGAAGACTTTGCTTTTTTGCTTTGCCCCTGTGTGAGCCGAGGCCCATTTGCAGGATTCACGTCGGCCTGGTCTCAAGGCGGCTTGCGAACGTGCTGGCAGAATCAAAGCGAGCTATATGACAAATAGGGACACCAGATTGTTGAGCTGAATCAGATCGGTGAAGCGACAGCACATGCCTTTCAGGAACGAGACTGCGCAGGAGTGGAAAAAGAATGAGAACTATGTGGTGAGCGCCTGAGCCTGACTGAAGCACGGCCTTTTTGTTGGGCCTTAGGCCAACAACACAAGCCTCGGGGACAAAGTCCCCGTGGAGGAGTTGGACGATGATGAGCACCCCGAGGGAGTTGACGGCTGCTGGCTGTCGGCCTCTGCGCTTTCAGGTACAACGAGCTGTTTGACAAGGATGCGTTTGTGTATGATCGGACAAGGACGGCAGATGTCGATCATCCAGCAACAAACAGCATTTTCATAGCGCAGCTGCGGCGCTGGTCAAAACAAATCCTGTTTGTCGGAATCTCTGGCCAGAGACGGCGTAAGGTTCAAAGAGAGGGTCTGTCATTTCTGGACCTTCCGAGACATGCAGTTTTTCTCCTGAGAGGCTTTTTTCCACGAGACCCACTCGGCTCGCATCCGAATCCCATTTAGGAATCCTTTTGACAAGGGCGCTGCGTCGAACTGCTTCAACTTCTGGTGCATGCCCCGCTGGCCAGCAGCCCGTGCCCTGGGAAACCGCATGTGCACTCAGTTGCACGCAGCTGACGCCAGCGGTGTATCTTTGGTTTGAGGACGCTCCACAAAAGGTTTAAGGCTTAAGGGGACGGATTTTTGTTTTGGCAGGGGACCCTCCAAAAACACAGAGACACGCCGAGATGTGCAAACCAAGGACGAGAAGGGGGATTGGTGAGAGATAGAGATGATAATGTCAGCATCGCCTCGTACTTTTGTGGAGGCTGGCTTGTTTCACTATGTCGTGACCAAAACTGTCATGTACGTGTACAATGACCAATGACCAACATTCAAACCACAGTCGACCAAAAAGCAAGTCAAAGGGATTGCAGCAAATCTGGACATGCATTGTTTTGCACTGCAATGTGCACCGCAAAGTGAATCGCAACTTTGTGGCTGTGGCAAAGCAGTGCATGCAGCGTTATTGGCAACAGAGGAGCCACACTGGACGCCTTCCGTGGAATTCTGTGCATCAACCCGTGGCTGACAGCGACAAATTGTGTATGTAGATGAGTATACACAGCTGCGGCTCAAGTTATAAGGTCCGGATGAGAAGTCCGGGCCCACAAGCGATCCAAACACCCCGAT